TTTGCCGCTGCACTGCCAGCCGCGGGCCCCCCCTCCCACCCCCTGTGGACCCTGCATGCACCTGCTCTAGTTCCACTGGGTCCCTATTCCTCTCCCACCCTTTGTTTCCTGGGCAAGAGCCCAGAGGCAGGAGAGTGTTGGCATATTTGAGCGACTACAAGGGAGTCGCCGTGGCTGGAGTGGATTGAGTGAGAGGAGGGAGGTGGGACATGAGCCAGGCTGGCCCCAGAATATAACCTGGGTCCTTCCCGCTTTGACACAGGCCAGTGTCACAGGGGTGACGGCCACTGCTGCAGAAAGCCAGGGACCCTGGGGGCTCAATAGCAGGTCCTGTGCCTCTTCCAGTGGGAAGCTGGCAGGCAGAAAACAGGCAAATGCCAGCTGGGAGTGCCTTGTACCTCCCCAGAGGCAGTGCCGGTCCCCAAGGAGAGCTTACAGCCCTGTCCCTGTTTTTGTGCACAGGAATCTGAGCGGCTGGAACTCATGAATGCGGAGCTGAAGACCCAGATCGAGGAGCTGAAGCAGGAGCGACAGCAGCTCATTCTGATGCTGAACCGGCATCGCCCCACCTGCATCGTCCGGACGGACAGCGTCAAGACCCCCGAATCAGAAGGGAACCCGCTGTTGGAGCAGCTAGAGAAGAAGTGACCATGGGCTGGGAGAAGGAAGAGGAGGAAGAGGAGGAGGAGGAGGAGGATTTGGGAAGAGGGGGGAGGACGAGGGGTCCCAGAGGGCCCTTCCTTGCTGCATGACAAACTTTACAATGAGGCTCAGCACAGCCAGCGCTGGCCGGGCTTTTTTGTGAAACTCACATCAGCCACACAAGGGGAAGAACGGGCTGACGAAACCTAGAAGGACCAAGCGCTGAGACCAAAGTAGACCCACGGTGGGGCTGTCCTGCCTGGGGCCCAGCTGGAAGGAGGCAGGACAGAGGCCCCCGGCCAGAGAGACACCCAACCAAATGGCCTCTCCACCAGGGCACCCGCCGAGGGACCTCGGAGCAGCCAGGAAAAGCCATGAGTTGCAGACAAACATGCGGCTGGGGGTGGAACTGAGTGGGACCACAGCCTGCCTGCCCCCAGCCCTGCCCCCCCTGACCCTGATGCCAGGCTGGAGCGGGCGCCACGTGGGGCCCAGCCGTACCTGCCCCCGTGGGTCCAGCGCGGCCTTGCCCGGGAGCGGCAGCCGGGGCGCGCCCTCAACGGCCCCGCTGGAGTCTGCTGTGGGCACGAGGCGCGGGCGCCCTTCCAAAGCACATACTCACTGAATGTTTACAGACTGGCTGTCCTGGCAGGGCTTTTCAACTGCACATGTTTTTTTATACTTTCTTTTTTTTTTTTTTTTTTTAATATTTTTTACAAAAAAAAAAAAAGATTTTATACAAGCAATATATATATGGATTTCTATAATCACTCGATGTGATATAGTATAAATATGCTATGGTTTGTTTGTTACGAACAGATATCCAGCAGTTATGGCCGTCGTGTGTAACTCCTAAGTACTGTAGTAGTCTCTGGGTGTCGGGGTGGCAGGGGCGGGCATGGGGTGCGTTTCCATCCTGGTAAATCCTTCACAGTACTCAGTCCTGTATCGCTCAGTAAACGTTACTCTTACTTACTCAGCCGCCTCTTGTGGTGTCTGCCCAGGGAAGGGGGTGCGAGGCCCGCTCGGCGGGCCTCCCGCTGTGCGGTGTCCGAGGATGTCTCGCGCATCGGCTGGCGGCTCTTGGTTTTCACGACAGCCCTCCCAGGTGAGTGTTTATATGCCCATTTTACAGATGAGGAAGTTCAGGCTCGGAGGGGTTCAAGAAGTCCACGGTACTCCCTTCGTTCACTCACTCACTCCCCAAGTGGATTGAGTGCCCGTCCTGCGTGCGCCAGGCGCTCTACCAGGCGCCGAGTGGTCACCAGGCATAAAACAAATCTAGGTAGGCCCTGTGCTCGTGGAGCTAACAGTCATGTGTTAAATCCTTGCAGCCCCCATTCGTTGACCTCCTATGTGACAAGCACGTATAGTTTCATTCACTCTTGACAGCGTGAAGTAGGCGTCTTTGCCCCCATTGTATAAACGACTTAACTGAGGCTCAGAGAGGGTAAGTGGCTTGTCCAAGATTACCCAGCTAGGGAGGGGCAGAGCTGGCGTTTAAACTTGGCCTCCAAGAGCCATGACTCTCCACCCGTCGCCAGCTTGCTGTGTGATTGTTGATTATCGGCTGGGGTTGGATGTCTCATCTGATTAGAAGAGGGAGCCTGTGGGGCCATGAGTAACATTTAGTTCCAGGGGGGCCTGGCTAGAGTTCCAGGCTGTGCTGTGATCCCGGAGCAGACCAGTGATCCCGGCAGATGCGGGCTTGACCCAGCAGAGAGGGTGTGGCTAACTCGACTTGCCCTCACCTGCACGGCTGAGCACTGAACCCACGCAGCAGGAACAGCTCAGTGTGATACACCATAACTGCCATTTATGTGGAACACAGCATGTCCCAGGTCCTTTGGTGCACGCCGTCTCACTTGGTATTACAGCTCTATGAGGTGGGTGGGGCAGGTGTTCTTAGCTCCACCGCAGAGCCGTGCAAGCCGAGGCTTCTGAAGATTCAAGTTCACCTAGCAAAACAGAGGCGCAACTAGGAACTGAACGCTGTTCTGCCTTCTAATCTTGTGTCCTCTGTCCCATCACTGGGGCTAAATCACTAGTTGTCGATGATGAGACTTCGGGTCAAGGAAAGCAGTGACCTTGGGTTGCTTCCCAAACCGTGGACGAGGACTGCTGAAACGGACAGAAATGAGAACAGGTCACGGACATGACTTTGGCCCCTTACCTACCCATCTCAGGTCCCCTCCACCCGACACGCTTGGTGTGGACCCCCTGAGCTCTGCCCCAGAAGCAGGGATGGTCGGCTCATAGGCAGCCATGGCAGCACACGGTAAACCCTCGGGCCATAATCCTTTGATATTTTTCAAGCCAAGAGAAAACAGAGACGTGGGCTTCCAAGGGCCCCTTAAATGACCCCACAGCCTCCCTGCAGGACAACCACATGCCGCTGGCCACGGTGCCTTTGGTCCCGTGCTTGGGTGCCGCGAGCCTGTACCTCCAGAAGAGTCCTCCTTAGCTTCTGCGGATGGGCTGTCTCCCAGAATCAGTGACTTGTGCTGTGCTGAGCCTGCCCTTGGAGTTTCTTCTTCGGGACCACTGCTACCTCCTGTGGGCAGCAAGAAGTCACCATCACAGCCTTCCTCATGACAGCCAACGTTTGCATGTTTTCTTTGTGCCTGGCACTTCAGACGTGTGGCTGCGGCCAGTCCATATGACCTTGCCAGGAGGTAGGTGCCACCATCCCCATGGTATAGACAAGAAAACTGAGGCACCAAGAAGATGTAACTTGCCCAAGGCCACAGTCCAGTAGGGTGTCAGGGCCAAGATGTTGGCTGGGCCTCCCCCTGAGGGGAAATGCTCCGTGTTTGTGGTGTCGCTTTAGTCGCCAGAATTCGTGCAGGGGCTGGACGAGACGGCACACAATGAGTATCCCTAAGCCCCAGACACCCAGCTCCAAGTGTACATACAGAAGACATACTCAGAAGGCAAATAGGTTCAAGATTCAATCTTCTACTGCCTAGCCAGGAGCCGGTGTGCGTTCTGGCCTTGTATTCAGTTCCCATAGGGGCGAATGCTGGAATCCGAGGTTCCTACGTTCATTAGGCTTCTGCATGGCCACAGTCATCTATGTTGGGTTCAGCATCCCCTCCCTGGGGCTCCCTATGCCTTTCTGCCAGGGGGTCACAAGGAAGGCCTGCGCCACCTCTGCCCCAGGGTGGCTATGAGCATCCGCTGTGCAACCTACCAGAAGAACAAGACCCATTTGCAATCAGATGGGCAGAAACTAGTACGCGTTGGTCAGGACACAAAGGGAACTTGCATTTGCCACTAGTGGGAAATCAGTGTGACTCCTGTGTAAAGCAATTTGGCAATTACCGGTGATTCTAAGGCTGAACACATGCTTGGACCCAGCAGTTTCCCTCCTAAGTATACACCTTGGAGGGACTCTTGCACAGGGGCCCGAAGAAATGGACCAGAATGTTCACTGCATCTCTGTTGGTAATAAAGAGAAACTGGAAACAACCTAAATACTTATGACCAGAAAAGCAGATGAACAGAAATGTATGTTTAGGAAATCAAATATTATTCAGCAGCTTCAAAGAATGAACCAGGGCTACAGGTACTGCTGTGGATAAATCTCAGGAACGCGGTGCTGAGCTGGAGGAGAGGAGGGCAAGTTGCAGAAGGATATATGCAGTGTACCATTTATAGAATCTTTCTTGATATGTGAGCTGATATTTTAGTGTTTACGGGTATGCACAGAATTGGATAATAGAGGTATCAAAGCCTGCACAGGACTGCTATCAAAATCAAATATCAAAATCAGTAATGGGGAAAGCTCCTGGGGATGGGGGGGGGGGGGAAGGGGGTCGAAGGCAGCATCTGCAAGGCTAAGAAGGACATTGGGTTTCAACTGTATGTGTAACATTTCGTTTCCTTTTAAAAATCCGAATCCAGTGTGGAAGAACGATGTTGCAATTTGCCAGAGGTGGGTGATACTCCTCACGCTCTTCTGTATGTTTGTTATATTTCATAATAAAAAAAGAACAAGCCACAGCACAAATAAGTTTTCTTTTTTCATTCTTTCCTTAGCAAACTCAGGAAATAGGAACAAAATCTGAAATTGCAATGGAGTTACAGCATATGCTCTTTGAATTGGTGCAAATTTAATTAAATGCCTGGAGGGAGAGAAAGAGACAATTCAAAGGGTGTGATTTGTTTAGCTGGCCCTTGTGATCAGTAGGCCCAAGCCCTGGGGTGAGGGCGCCTAAGGGTGAGGGCACCTTGGGGAATGTTGATCGGCTCTTTTCAGTGGGTCCTGGCCCCTTCTCTCCACAAAATGAGCAATTACAGGCATTTTCAAGGTTAATATGGACTCCATATTTTCTCCTTAAATGCTGACTTCACAAGCCAACCCCTAAGTCAAATGCAATCCACTGCACCTTTAACTAAGACTAGAAGCAAAGCAAAGGGGGAGCATTTGAAAGACACGAATGCAATTTTCCCAGGCATATTCATTTCCTGTTGTTACCGTAACAAATTACCATAGTTTTAGTGGCTTAAAGCAATACAAATTTGGATATCTTGAAGTTCTAGAGATCAGAAGTCCGAAATGGGTCTCGCTGGGTTAAATAGAGGTGTCGGCAGGCTCTGATAGGGGAAAATCTATTTTCTAGCCCTAAGTTATGAAGGCTGCCCACATTCCTTGGCTTGTGGCTCCTTCCATCTTTAAAGCCAGCAGTGGCTGCTTGAGTCTTTCTCACATCACCTCACTCTGACACCAACTCTTCTGCCTCCTCCCTTTCATTTTTTAAGGACCCTTGTGATTATATTGGGCCCACCGGGCTAAGGATAATCTTATTTTAAGGTCAGCCGATTAGCAACTTAAGTTCCATATGCAAGCTCAATTTCCCCTTGCCGTGTGACATAAAATATTCACAGGTTCCATCTTTGGGAGGCCATTACTCCACCTACTTCAAGAGGAGTTTAAGAGTTGGAGGTTCTTGCGGCTTCCTCACTCCCTAGCCAGGTAAGCTGTTTTCCACGGAAGCATCGCG